AATCCTAGACAAAGAGTTCTCATAGATGTACTGCTCAGAATCTCCTCCACGCTTGCAGGAACTTCCTTACCTTTGTATCTTTTAAATAAATTTGCTTAAGCTTTACTTCCTCTGTTCACAGTCTGTTTGTCACCATGGGACAAGATTCCAGCATTCTGGTAATAGCTACTAAATGGTACAACTGGAATTCAAATTTTCAAGCTGCGTGTGGTGGTTAGGAGCTGAGGCAAGAGGATCACTATCAGTTCAAGGCCAACCTGAAATGCATAGGGAGATTTGTCTCAAACCCGCTACAAAACAATTCTTTTTAAAATAAGTTTTATTAGGGGCTGGGGAGATGGCTCAGTGGAATTTGTGCTTCTCTGGTGAGCATAAGGGCCTGAGTTCAATCCCTGGTTCCGCCAAAAAAATAAAAATAAAATAAGTTTTATTGTGCTGACCTGAGGCTGTCCCTGTATGCCTGGCCTAGATTGCTGCCATGGCTGTCTTCTTGAATCTGTAGTTGATTACCTGTTGCAATTAATACTGAACAACCCCGCCCTTGGTTTTGAGGAAATGACTGCTGTAGTATGGTCTTTACTTGACCCGCTTCCCTGAGTTACCTATTACTGCTGCACATAGTGAGCTCTGGATTATGCCTTCCTAGTATGACCATTCCAAAGCTGTCATTCTCTCCTTTGAAAAAAACTTGGGGGACTAGGGAGATTGCTTAGTAGAATAAGCGCTTGCCTGGCAAGCCAAGGGCCTGAGTTCAATCCCCGGTTCCAGGAAAAAAAAAAAAACTTGGGCAGATCCTACTTAAATTAGGAAGGATAAAGTTTGTTGGTGACATTCTTCACAGACATGTACCTCCCTATTACTCAGTTTTGGTTTATCTAAACTAAAAAATCCTTTTTTACTTTTGTTAAACGTCTGTGGCTCTATTTTGTTTCTCCCATAATCCCACTGAAAACATCTACCCATTCTTTTCTAGGCATATTTTTTCATTAAAATTTTTTATTAGTATGTATCTGTGACACATAGTTACTACATTTAGTTTGTGGGATCACTATATATACAATTTGCAAACCAGGGATTGAACTCAGACCCTTGTGCTTGCCAGGGAAGCGCTTATTCCACTGAGCCATCTCCCCGGCCTTCCTTGCTTCTTTTTTTTTTTCAATTCTTTATTTATTTATTTATTTATTTATTTTGTGTCTGTGTGTGGCCAGCTCAGCCCACCAGGGGGCGGGGCTGGCTGGCATGTGGTGCTGGGGGATTGAACCGTGGTCCCTGTGCTTTGCGCTTAGCTTAGCTTGTTCTAAGTAGGTGCTTTAGACCACTGAGCCATCTCACCAGCCCCTCCTCCTTGCTTCTTAATGTGGCTTTTTTTTCTCTCTTTAAATTGTTTATGCTTTGGGTCTCTTATATAAGAGGAACTACACACTATCTAACCTTTTAGAATTTTTGTTTGGATTGGTTTTTGTTTTTGTTTTTTGGCAGAACCAGGGATTGAATTCAGATCCTGGCATTTGCCAGTCAAGTGCTTATCCTACTGAGCCATCTCCCCGGCCCCTGGATTGTTTTTTTATTGTTGAGACAGACTCTCATGTAGTTCAGCCCAGTCCTGAACTCACTATATACCTCAACATGATCTCAATCTGACAGCAATTCTACCTCAGTCTCCTGAGTTCTGAGATTATAGCCATGTGCCAACATGCCCATCTTACCTAACCTTTTATGATTGAATACTTTTACTATTCATCTTCCTACAAATAACTCAAATTTATACTCCATAATGGCTGAAGAGTAATCCATTATATTGTGTATAAATACTACATACATTTTCTTTATCCATCTATCTGTTAATGGGCATCCAGGATAGAGCTGTTATGAGTTGTGCTGCTATGAACAGGTATGTATGATGACTTTACATCTTTTGGAAAGATACCTAGGAATTTCTGGGGTTTTTTCTTTGAGAGATCTCCCATATTGATTTCCAAAGTATTTGTACTATACATTCACCAACAGCATAGAGTTCTTTTTCCTCACAGCCCAACCAGCACTTGTTTTTTGAGTCCTTGATTATGACCATTTTTGCTAATATAAGGTACAATATTGTTTTGATTTGTATGTCTCTGACCAAAGATGAATGTTTTTTCATGCATTCATTTATTGACCATTTGAATTTTTTCTTTTGAGATGTATTTTTTCTTCCATTTTTTGACTAAATCTTTTAGGGGAACTTTTTTTTTTTTTTTTTTTTTTTTTTTTGTGGAACTGGGGATTGAACTCAGGCCCCTGTGCTTGCCAGGCAAGCACTTATTCCACTAAGCCATCTCCCCAGCCCCAGGGGAACTTTTTAAAAAAAAATTTTATCTATTCTAAATGTTGGTTCTCAGAGGAGTACCTGGTAAAAAAATTTTTTTCATTTTGTCTCTTGGCTCCATTGGTTGATTCCTTTGTTATCCAAAAGGTTTTTGGAAAGGATTTTTTTTTTTAAAGCTGGCTCAGCCTGCCTTAAGGATAGGTCTGGTAAGGCATGTGGACTTGGGGATTGAACCGTGGTATCCTGGGCCTGACTGTGTTTGCATTTGTCCAGAATGTTTTAATGTGACATAAAACTAATTTATGGAATCTTGATATTTCCTGTCCAATATGGATTATTTGCAAGAACCTCCCCCCCCACTTTTTTTTACCCCTACCCCCACCTATCTGATGAAATTCTTTCAAACCACTGATCCATTTTTTTTTTCACTGATCTATTTTGATTTGATTTTAGTACAGAGTGGGATATATGGATCAAGATTCTTTTTTCTGTATGCAGGTAACAAGTTTTTCAAGCACCATTTCTTTAAAAAGAGAATTTTTCTAGCATACATTTTTGGCCCTTTTGTCTAAAATAGAGTTACTGGGCCAGCCAAATAGCTCTGTAGATTAAAGCACCTGCTTAGGCAGACGCTGGGGCAGGGAGTTGTATCCCTGGGCCTGCCTTGCTGGCCCTGCCCCCAGGGGTGTTGAGATGCAATTGAGACTGGGAGTGGTGATGCACATCTGTAATCCCAGCACTTCAGAGGCTATAAACAGGAGGATCACTATGAGTCTGATCTACACAGTGAGATCCTGTAGACCCTGTCCTAAAATACAAAAAATAAATAATAAAATAGAATAACTAAACACTAAAGGTGTTTGGGATTGTTTGTACATTCTCCATTCTGTTCAACAGGTTTGCTTCCAGTAGCTAGACACGTCTTCAATGCTTGCCCCAGTGGCTGAGGCAGGAGGATCACAATTTCAAAATTGGCCTGGACAACATAATGAGATCCCATATAAAAATTTTAATTTTCTCCCCCTTCAGAAGAGACTAGGAGTAAGAAATGCTTGCTCTGGTAGGGTTAAGTGTTCCCCTGTAATCCCAGCACCCTGGGGGACTCAGAAGGATCACAAGTTTGACCCCAACCTGATAATTTACTTAGTAAGACACTGTCTCAAGATTTTAAAAGGGGAAAGGCCCCAGGACTAGGGACGCAGTGCAGTGTGAAGGCTCTGGATTTAATCTCTTGTGCCACAAAACCTGACTCGCCTCTCCATCCTCCACTTCCCATATTAGTTTCATTATAAAGTTTATCTTTGTTGCTGTTTTGGTTTCACTTTGCAGTCCAGACTGGCACTGAACTTGAGATCCTCCTACCTCAGCCTCCCTAATAGCTGAGATTGCAGGTTTGTGCTTCCACACCTGGTTCCATATTAGGTATTATTGATAATTTTTTATCTTTCCGGAAATGTAATGTGGCCAATCTCTTACTGTTTTACAGCAGGAAAAAAAAAAAATTCCATGTACACTTCTACACCTCTTTTTTTCCCTTGGAACTTTTACACATCTTATTACACACATCAAGGTTTGCTTAGCCACTTCTCTACTAAGCATTCAGTGACGTAGTGCTGTTATTCTGCCATATGATGCTGCAATGGACATCTTATTTTTTTTTTCTTTGACATCCTATTGTTTTAAGGCCAGTAGCAGTGACTTCCAGTTTTGATGGATCCTCCGGTGTTATATTCCTGTCAAGATTAAAAATTTAGCATGTCACTTGCTGCTAAAAATGTTACTTAAGGGACTACTGGAATGAAAAGAACTTGAGCTGTACTGCTTAAGACCAAGGAACCTCAGGCAAGATTTCTTTTCTCTGGGACTCATTCATTCACCTGTAAAATGGGGTGCAATCTTAGTTTGCTGAGTGGTTATGAAAATCCACAGATGGTATGATGGAAGGCTTGGCATCGGAAGAGATCTCAGCTGCCTTTTAGTTTCAGATTGTCCTAGGGTGCTCCAGCTAAAAAACTCTAACTGAACACGCTAGAGGAGCCCTTCTCCTGCTAGTAGATGAGTAAACTGAGGCACAGAGAGGACCACAAGGCAGTTGAACTGGCTCAAGAGTCCGACCTGCTGGGACAGCCTCTGGATTCGCGAGCCTTCGCACCTGCACCTCTGAATGCGGTCTGAATGGAGGCCTTTCCTGGAGTCCCCCCTTTGCCCAGTCCCCATCAACCCTTTCCCACTCTTCCCTCGTGAGCCAGGTGGGTTGGGGAGGGAGTACATTCCTGGGCACCTGACAGCAGCCGGGTGGGGCCACTGCCGGCCGTGGAGCTCTGGGACTCGGCGTCCTTCCTCCCTATGGGCCTCAGTGTGTCTGTTTGAGCCCGATGAGTGTGTATGTGGGCGGTAGATGGGTAGATGGGTGTTGTGTAGCCGTCTAGTGCGTGCGTTGCGTGGTGTAACCTTCCTTGTATAGACGTGTGAAACGTGTAAGGAATAGTATGCAGATGTGGGGGCTCACGTCGTCAGGGATCCTCTTAGTGCAGCCGACCGTCGAGATAGTACTGTCCAAACTTAACCCTTAGACCCGCAGCTTCCTGACCTGGACTTTGCGCGTGCGCGACTCCGCTTATGGCCCCGCCCCTGACGCTGGAACCACGCCTACGCCACACTTTACGGCCTGGCACGCCACTTTTGCGGCAGCTGCCCTCGCTGCTTCTGTTGCTGCCGCTTCTGCCGCTGGTGAGGTAAAGTGAGGTGTGTAGTGTGGCAGGTACTGCCACCGCCGCCCGGGGACGGTGATGGGGTGAATAGCACAGCTATCACCATTTGGCGAGTGCGGCTAGTAGCCACTGTGTTGTCTCCTCAGGTCTGGTCCCATTTGCCCTACGACAGGGAGGCCACCCGGGCCCGGCCAGCCGAGTCAATGCTGGACCTGGAGGTGGTACCTGAACGCTCTCTGGGGAACGAGCAATGGGAATTCACGCTGGGTGAGTATGGGGTCGCTCGTTAGGCCCCATGCACTGATGTTTACTTTTTGTCTTTTTTTGTTTGTTTTGTTTTGAGTCAGAGTCTCGTGTTACACGCCAGGCTGGCCTCGAACTTGCCATGTAGCTTAGGCTGGCCTTGATCTCTTGATCCTCCTGCCTCAGCCTCCCGAGTGGTGGGATGACGGGAGTGCGCCACCGCGCCCGGCTCTCGCCTTTACTTCTCTTCTCTAGGCCGCCCGCCTGTGGGCTCTTCCTCTGTCTAGTTCACCTACGCCCTGTTTGTCCCTCAGGCAATTTAGTCTCCAGGCATTGGATTCCTGCTTCAACTGGCCAGATGTGCCTGTCAGTCACATTGTGGGACAAAGACACCCTTGCCTCAGGCTTTAGCAGGGTGGCTCCTGGGACAGAGACTATAGTAGTAATGATTCTAAGAGCTTGCACACCGCTGACACTTCATGGCTGACCTGGCTCTTTTGGGCATACTTAGCTAACCCTCGCTGGTGTCTGCGAATCTATTCCTATTCTCACTGTACAGCATAATAGAAGTGGTTGACATCTAGAGTGGTCTCTTATCTGTTTTTCTGTGCTTTTTGTTCATGTAGCTTCCTTTTTGGGAAGACCTAAACTCAGATCTGTATTGTGACGGTAGGCATCTGACCAAGGGAAACTGATTTATGCCTGGTGGTGGTGGTGGTGGTGGTGGTGGTGTTTGAGGCAGGGTCTTATTATGTAGTTCAGGCTAGTTTTAAACTCATGGCAGCCCTCCTGCTTCAGCCTCCCAAAGGCAGGGATTACAGGTGAGCACCACTACACCTGGCTGACTTTGTGCCTGTTAGAGCAACTTCCTTGGGACTTGCCTCCTTTTTTTGAAATATAGTCTTATTGTATGATGGTGTAATAGTAAATCCAGCTCTGTGTTTTGAGAAGTAAGAATTAGGGAAAATAATCTACTGTTTGTAATCACAGTTTAGTTAGCCCAGTTTTCTCTCACCGCCCTCTTTATCCCCAACATCACTATTTTTATTAACAGGATGTTTGCATTCAGTAACCTCAGTGTGTTTACTTTGATGTTCCAGCACTAAAAGAAGAGGGTGGAAGCAGGTGTTGTTATCACTTGTTTGCCAAATGAACTTTTGTCACTCTGGTGTGGGCTGTAAAACTTAGTCAACTGCTTCCCTGGATCATGGTTTATCCTTGAGTGTGGGAGACTTGTCTGTGGATACAGTGTATTGGAGAGATCTGGTAAGACCCAGCTGATGGTCAATGTATTGGTGCAATTTACAAGCTGTAGGAGTCAGTTTTATTGAGGCGTCTTTGCAGTTTCTCTCAAAACTTAGACCAGTCTTCTGGAGTTCCCCACAGTTTTAGCTGATAGGAAATGTCCTAAATTCTTGTCAAGCACCAAGACCTTGATTGAGAAGCTAGTAGTGACATGCTAATGTTGTTTGATTTCTAGTTAACTGCTTTCCTCCCCTCCCTACACAGCTTGTGCCCACACCAGGGCCTTCTAAGTCTGGATAAATAAAAACCACAGCTATACCTTCTAACTGCGCTAATGATGGGAACAACGTTATGAAACTCTGTGTGTGGTACAAACATTCAGAGTTGTTTGGTTAAAGTAGTGACTAGGGTTGAGATCAGGATTTTCAGAAAACCAAGTGGAAAAACAAGGCCTCCTCTGGTAACTGTTTCAACAACCTAATCCCAAATCCTAACTGTCAGTTTCTAAGAATTACAGATTAGATAATTATTTAAGACTATATTAATAGCAACCAAAGAATGCCTGTAATCCCAGCACTCAGGAGGCCAAGACAAGAGGATCACTGTGAGTTCGAGGCCAGCCTGAACTTCATAGGGAAACCCTGTCTCAAACCACCACCCTCCAAAAAGCAACCAAAATTAGGACATTCCTGTATGGTTCCAGAAATTATACAAAATTTCACCTCTCTAGAGGAGACTCAAAGAGAGAGCCTAACCTAAACTTTCATAATTCTTTGTGGATCTTAAAATTTGCATTTTTATGGGGCCAGGGAGATGGCTTAGTGGAATAAGTGCTTCCCTGGCAAGCGCAAGGGCCTGAGTTCAATCCCTGGTTCTGCCAAAAAAAAAAAAAAAAAAAAAAAAATTGCATTTTTAAATACTGCAAGTCATTTTTTTTTCTGCTCCCTAAATTCCATCACCCTCAATACAGCCAAATGTTGTTAGGATTATTAGGTAGGGATAGGTCTAAAAAATGAATGTGCTAATAGAATTATATTCCAAGGCTAGAGAACCAGTCATTGTTTACATTTTATCACCAGAACATGGTAAAGTATTTTCTTAGCTTTCCTCTCTCTCTCTCTCTCTCTCTCTCTCTCTCTCTCTCTCTCTCTCTCTCTTTCCAGTATTGGGGATAGAACTTGCAACCTTGCACTTGCCAGGCAGGCACTTAAGCCACTGAGCTATATCCCTGGCTCTGTAAGGTATATTTTTAATTTTCCAGGTAAAAAATAGGCTCAGAGAAGAGACAGAGGTGATAAACAAGTACTGTAATTGAACAAGGTTTCCTGCTGCCACTTCTGAGCTCTAACAAGGATGAACGCAGTTTCTGTCACCAGATTTCCTAATGGAATCTACAAATGTAGATGTGTCTGGCTCTTGTAGTCCTTCTTCTGGTACCACAGTAGGGAGAGGCATCCAAGGCCTTGACTGCCTTCCCGCCTTTTATATAATGTTGGGGAGATTATACAGGGACAGGAAAGCAGACCAAAGGAATCTGAATACCATGATGGTTAGACCATGGCAGGATAGAGGCCATGCAAGTTTGATATTTATTTTTATTTATTACATTTATTTATTGTGTGTGTGTGTGTGTGTGGCCAGCTCAGCCCACCTGGGGGCGGAGCTAGCTGGCATGTGGTGCTGGAGGATCGAACCGCGGTCCCTGTGCTTTGCCAAGCTTGTTTCAAGTAGGTGCTTTAGACCACTGAGCCATCTCTCCAGCCCATAAAGAATTTTTTTTTTTTGTGTGTGTGTTTTGCTCCTTGAATGTCTTCAGGGCACTTTTGCATGGCTGGAGTGTTGTGGGGATCGAACTACAGCAAACTGAGGCTGCCAGCATTGTGGAAGCAGCCGGCCATGCAAGTTTGAAAGAATGTTTTCAATGAGACTTGTAGAATGTATTGTTTGCATTTCTCAATTTTTTTAAATTAGTCTTTAAAACGTCTAAAGAAGATAGAGTTGAAAAGCCACTGGATAAAATCTCAGCTTTCTCTGAGATTACCTTGCTTAGCAGACGGAAGGATCACATTGCAAAGGTAGCTTGTGGGATCTGCTCATGAACGTTGGAAATTGAATAATGATCTTATGCCCTAAAGACCTTAACTAGTGGTAAGGAAGGACAGGAATAGTTCATTTTATTATAATATTGTATAAGAAGTAAAGGGCGCTTCAGCTGGCTTCAAACTCAACATTGGCTTCTCAAATGAGAATGGGATTAGATTATACCTAAGTAGATATGCCACAAGTTTTATTTTATATTGTTGGATGATGTTGTTGCATGTTTTGTGGTTTTGGTACCAGAAATCAAGCTCAGAACCTCACAATTGCCCGGCACACACTGTGCCACTTAGCTATGTCCTCAGGTTTTTGTTGTTTTTGTTTTGTTTGAGTCAGAATATCTCTCTGTAGTTTGATTTGACCTGAGATTCGCTGTGATCCTCCTACCTCAGTCTCCCAGCTTCAGAATTTTTTTTTTCCCCAAGATTTGTCCACCAGAGTGGTCCTGGCTGGGGCCTATCCTCAGGCTATTCTTGGCACCACCACTCCCAGGGGAGCCTTTATTTATACATTGTCCAGAACACACCTCTCTGTATGATTCTGTTCCTTAAAATACAATAGAAGCCAGGCCTGGCTGCGTATGTATGTGATCCCAAGATACTCAGGAGGCTAAGGCAGGAAGATCACAGCTTTGCACCCAGCATAGGCAACTTGAGACCTTGTCTCAAAATTTAAAAAGGGATAGGGCTGTGGCTGTACAGGAGACTACAGCCAAAAAAGAGACAGAGTGAGGCCAAGCACTGTAGGACATACTTGTAATCCCATCTATTTGGGACAGTGAGGCAGGAGGATCAAGAATTTGAGATGGGGCTAATCCCCTTTATAAAAATGTGCCCCCTCCAGCTACTCAGCCTGGACTCCTTCCCTATTTTTCTCTTTTAAAAAAAAAAAAATATTTACGACAGGGTCTACAGGATCTTACTACATAGATCTAACTTGTAGAGAGTAGTGATTCTCCTCTTTTCAGTCTCCCAAGCCCTGGGATTACAGGATTGCATTACCACTCCCAGTCTCAATCCCTGTCTCAGGGTGCCACCACACCCAGTCTCAGTGCTGTCTCAGGGTGCCCAGGGGTTAGGCCAGCACAGTATGCTGAGGATCAAACCCCTGCAGCTGTGCTCTGCCTAAGCAAGCGCTTTAATCTGCTGAGCTAGCTGGCTGGCCCCTCCATTCCTATTTTTCTTACTCCTCTCTATATCTTTTTTGTTTGTTTTGTCTGACTTTGTTTTTTTGAGACAGGGCCTTGGTATATAATTAACTCACTATGTAGCCCAGGTTGGCCTCTACACAAAGTAATCTTCCTGACTCAGCTTCCCAAGTGCTTAGATCACAGCCATGTGTCACCATGCCCAACAACTCTCCTAAGGGTCACCTTCATCTTTGTCAACTTCTCAAGCTAACACTAAAGTGTCTTAACCATATTTTAACTTTTTTTTTTTTTTTTTTTTTTTTTAAGAACTGGGGATTGAACTCAGGCCCTTGCACTTGACAGGAAAGTGCTTATTCCACTGAGCCATCTCCCCGGCCCCCATATTTTTAACTTTTAAATTAAAACTTTTTCTTGTAAAGTTGAAGTTTTTTTTAAAAAGAGAAAACTAGTTTTTGCAGTTTAGTCAGACGTCTCAAAATTTTAAAAGGGTGAGGGATACTAGGTTGCGGGGTACTGCCTTTAGTGGGTTTAATCCATAAAATAAGGCTAAGGATATAGCTCAATGCCATAACACCCTTGGATTCTGTTCCCAGTACCATAAACAACAAAAGAGGTAGAACTTCTTTGTAAGTCCCTGGAATGTTTGAGATGTTATTGAGATTTGGATTACTTAAACTGGGAACATTCATAAATCTGTTCATAATGGGTCATGAGATTTGTGGATTTTAAGTTAAGGATCCACTGAAATATTTGGTAAAATAAGTTGATTCTGGCAGGTTTTGAACTTTTTTTTTTTCTTTTGTGGTACTGGGAATTGTTCCTAGGGCCTTTGCACTGAATTCCATCTCTAGGTCTGCTTCATTTTTCAGATATAAGGTCTTGCTAACCTGCCCAAGTTGGACTTGAACTAACAACCCTCCTGCCTCAGCTTCCCAGAGTATTGGGATTGCCATCATGTGGCAGCACACCTGCTAATTTTGAACTTTTTAATTTGGCCTTTATACATAACATGATTTGATAGACCTGTTTTTTAATTAATTTATTTATTTAGTACATGGCCAGCCCAATAGACCTGTTTTTAGAGCTCCTGAGACAAAGTCAAAGAAGAGAAGGGACCTTCCCAAGGTTATAAATCATCCATGGCAGAATACTGATTAGAATTGGCAGTCTGAAGGGCTGTCTGCAGAGACAGTGCTTTTCTTGCCCTGTTTTTTGGTACATGCTGATTTTGCCTTCTCTTAGTTCTTCATTTGTTTGGAATCAGTGTGGAAGATGTTACTATTTCTAGGAAGCTGTTTTCTAAATTCACTGCCTCCAGGCTAGCCAGATAGGTCAGCGGACTAAAGTACCTATTTAGATAGACACAGGGATCAGTTCAGTCCCCAGCACCACATGCCGTGGTGGCACGCCCCTGTAATCCAGAGCTTGGGAGGCTGAAAACAGGAGGATCACTATGAGTCCGATCTGTGTAAGTGAGACTCTGTACTTAAAAAAAAAAATCACTTTCTCCCCTTGGGCAACCTTATTCCCTTAGAGTTTATTCTGTCTCTCACTGTTCACTGAACTTTTATTTACTCATATATGTTGACGTTATTAGCCTCGCTCAGTCTGAAGACTTTCAGGCCACTGCTTGGTGTCAGTACCTGGATAGCCCAAATAACCACACAGGTGTCCTCGCTTTATTTCAGGAATGCCCCTGGCCCAGGCAGTGGCTATTCTTCAGAAGCACTGTCGAATCATCAAAAATGTCCAGGTTCTCTACAGTGAGCAGGTGAGTGGTGGCCAGTTTATTTGCTGAAATAGCATCCATGCCTAGTGAGTTACCTCTGAAGGTGACCAGGGAGAGGCCAACAGACAGGGATTGCTATGTTCCAGTTAGAGCATTTTCAGCACAGATCAATTACCATGAATATTATCTCTGGATTCTGAAACTTTTGTTCTTGAATTAACTGGTGCTGCCAGCTTAAGAAAGAACAGTGAGAACTAAACATGTTTTTTATCTGTGCTTGACCCACCCAGTGGTCTGAAGGTAGGGACTTTGCTGGATGTATAGATGTGTAGGAGTGTTTCTGTAATCCCAGCACTGTGAAAGACTGAGGCAAGGAGGTTGCAAGTTCATCCAGCCTGAATAACTTAACAAGATCCTATCTTCTTTGCAAAGGCCTTGGGTTCAATCCCTAGTATAGGAAACAAACAAAAGAGATCTTCACAGTGAGAAGCCACCTGAGGAACTGTCTTGTTTTCAACAGTGTTTGCCTTCAAAGTCCCTTTGTGGTGATAGTGGTGGTATTGTTATTTTTCTCTCTGCTGTCAGATCGTCTTTAACACAATTTAACTTTCAGCTTTTTATTTAATTTTGGTACTGGGAATTGAATTCAGAACCTCACACTTGCCAGGCAGGTGGTGCACTGCTGAGTTGTATGCCTGGCCTGACTTTCAAATCAAACTTGAGGGAATTACTTTCATGATAGCAGCTGTGGGAGATGGGCTTGCTTCTTGAGCTTATGTCTGTGTATATGTTAAGTTGAATTAGATTCAGACATTCTTAAGATTTGTTGCTTTTGAAAATAGGCATCAGGCTTTCTTTTATCAATTTGTAAAAATGAAAGTTATGTCTTACATCACTGCCTTTCTTATCTGCCCTTGCAGTGTTTTCAGGAGTGTTAACATTAAGCTCATTCTCCCCAGTATCTTCTGTGGATCTGTGTAACTAGCTGGACAGCATGGGTTTTCGAGTCTAGATCTCAGTTCACATCTCTGTTCTTTCTAATTCTTGGTTGTGTAACTTGTAGCAAATTAATAACCAGTCTTGATTTTTTTTCCTGTAAAATTAGTATATTAGTAATAGAAAATCTTTTGACAAGGGTCAAAAAGATTCTCTGAGGTCTAATGTATTCCTTTATTGTGGGTCTTATTCTCTTCTGAGTGCTTTTGTCCCTTTCTTTGCTTCCCACCAAGTACAGAAAACATTTTCCCCATATAAGTGTTATAATATCTTACTGTATGTACACGTTATCCTTTAGATATTAAATGTGCACATCAAGTAGAACCCATTTCATCCCCCCCCCCCCCCCCCGGTATTTTAGGGAAGGGTCTACAGGGTGTAGACTGATCTCACCACTAGATCGGACTCATAGTGATCCACCTGTTTTTGGTTTTGGGTGTTTTTGTTTTTGTTTGTTTGGGTTTGTTTGTTTGTTTGTTTGAGGTTTTTTGGTTTTGGGGGGGTTTTTTGGTATTACAGGGTGTTCAGGGTCTCAATACTTGATCGAACTCATAGTGATCTGCCTGTTTACAGCCTCCCAAGAACTGGGATTACAGGTGCATGCCACCATGCCCAGTCTCAGTTGCCTCTCAGTGCATTCCAGGGGCAGGGCCAGCATGGCAGGCCCTGGGATCCAGCCCCAGTCCCTGTGCCTCCTTATAGGTGCTTTAATCCACTGAGCTGTTTGGCCGGCCCTTATTGTTTTGTTTTGATTTGAGATAAAGTTTTGCTTTATAGTTGGAGGTGGCCTTGAACTTTCTAGATAGTCATGCTGGCTTCCAACACAAAATCCTCCTACTCTGCCACCAGGGCTGAGATTATAGGCCTGTGCCATCATGCCCAGCTAGATCCCATTTTTGTTACAGAAGAAAAGACAGTAACAACTAGTAGCAGATAGCTTTATTAAACTGTCTCATATGGAAGTCAGCTAAATTACTCAAGGAATTCGATCTCCGTAACATGTATTCTTTCTGTGTATGCTTAAACATCACATAGTTGGTCTGTATTTTGGTTCCACGGATATAAAATATGAATTTGTTTTTTATTTAGTACAGGGTCTCACTACACAGATTGGACTTACAGTGATCCTCCTATTTTCAGCCTCCCAAGCTCTGGGATTACAGGCCACCACTCCCATTCACCCGCTCAGTGGGCCCTGGGCGTGGGCCAGCACAGCACACTAGGGATCAAACCCTGGTCCCTGTGCCTGCCTAAGCAGGAGCTTTAGTCCACTGAGCTATCTGGCCCTCCTCTAAAATATGAATTTGTATCACATTGATTTCATACATAGATTGTAAAAGTGATTGGCTTACTTTCAAAAAGTACTTAGTTATGTCCTAAATTATAACAATGCCAAAGAAAAACATCAGATCTAGTGAAAGTGTCAGTGTAGATTCTCCCAGCATTCCTCCTTCAAAAAAGAGTCCTAAAAGAAAAATGTTGCTTCTCCTTTTTTACTTCCTTGGAATGGCCTTCTCCAAAGTGGAACTTTGGGTCTGGTGAGATGGCTCAGTGGTCTAAAGCACCTACTTAGAACAAGCTTAGCAAAGCACAGGGACCGCTGTTCAATCCCCCAGCACCACATGCCAGCCAG